AGAAAAAAAGAATTGGAAAATAAAACATATTTTTTTTTAAATTAATTTTTTAAAACTCGATATGCAAATTGACTATCTCCATTAACGTTTATGGCCACACTGGTTTTTATACAATACCCAAAGGTAAACAATGTTGAACCTGGGTAGTACCTCAATTGGTTACTGTTAGTTAATTAGTAAGATTTGTAACACTAAACTATTATTATTTCCTAAAAAAAATTCCCTTAGTTATAGTGACCATTATTTGGTCACAGTACTCTCTGAAGTAATTGCTATTCTTGTTTTGTAAACCATTAATTTTAAGTTTGAGCTTCTATGTGACCTTGTACCAGACTTGGTTTAGTCTAACAAAAACAGTATCTTAAAAATAACTTTCTGCAATACACCTATTTTTATTCAGGGAATTAATATAAACTGTTCCAATAAATGATAAAAAATTCAAATGCAGATATTCTTATGTTTATTTGGATTTATCTTACTACTCTTAGATCCATCCATAGGTTACCAAATTCACAAACAAATGATAGGTTATTGTCTCATGGGAAAATCCTGACTGAACAATTTGGAACTTTAAAAGTAATATACTTTCTGATGAGACTATAAATGATGATTCCTCTTCCCATAAATTCAGGGACAAACTTGCTTATTTGTTTGTTGGTTTATATCTATCGGGGGGAGGGGGATAGAATAATTTCATAAACAAAACATGGGGTGTAAAAGAGAGGACTCACTCATGGGGCAATCCTGAGTGTACAACTTGGAGCCTTAAACCTAATATGCACTAACTATTAGTGTATGGAACGTGGGATTAGCAATTCAAAATCTGTCCAAGGTTGCTGTGATCACTTTCACTCAAATAAACTTGCAAAAGGTATGGATCAATTTCTTCTTCCCCCATCTATAGGTTAAATATCAGGGCATACTGAGCTCTCTAATTTTGATTGGCAACCAGTCTTGGAAAAGGATAACTTTGAATTCAAAGCAAGTTGGTTTTGGGTTAGTAACTCCACCTTGTAAAACCTTCAGAACCATGTGTCAATGTGAGACTGTGGCTCTATTCTTCAAAGGGAGTATAAATTACCCCTTCACACACCTACACACACTTCTTAAATAAAGTGCTTAATGAAGTCTATACTGGAGATAGGGTTAGGTAACCAGCAGAGGCTCCAGGTTTGCAGATCTGCTTTTCCCTCCACCCACAGACCTATTTTTTCTTTTTCTATTGCTTGATTCAGCAAGTGAGATTGATAAATCCTTAAATCTAACTTCTCTAAGGTGTCCTGTTGGCTGTCTCTGCTCTCCACTGATGATCATTGAATCCACAGGCAATTTATAGTCCCTTTTCAGGGATTTCTTTGTATACTTTGAGTGTGAGCTTCCACTTCTCCATCAGCCAGAAATGAGTTCCCTGAAGAAAAAGATTTTTAGAAGATAATAGTCCCCTGTCCTCACCACATGGTCAGCTTTCTGCTTTTGCATCACTCTTGTGACTTTGGTTAATCTGATAAACCTAGCCTTTTAAAATTATAAGAAAGGCCTTGTAAATATTTGATGCCGGTTTTCTCACTAGTATAAGGATTTTATCACTTTTTTTTTTTTTTACTTTGATTATGATAACATGTACAACAAAAAGCGATCCACTTCATGCCTGCAATAAGATGGATGTGGTAAAAGGACATGAGTTCCCTGATGAAAAAGTTTCCCATAGCTTTTTTAACTACCTTCACTATTTGGCAGTGTTTATTTTTTTAAAAAGTGATGATTTGAATTTTAATAAAACCTAAATATATGAAAGTGAGAATTGACAACAAAAATAATAAACACTTTTAGATTGGTTATATACTCTATTTATTTTTTATATTATTTATTGAAATGGTTGTCAAGACATTGACTAATAGCTAATTGATTCAAACTTTATAAAATGGTAAATAATAAGGATTTTCTTATAGTTGGTTCACATATTTTAATAATTTAGTAAATGTTTATAAATTTAAGAATAAAAAATTGTTTTCATATTTCTTTATAAATTGGTAAATGATAAATATTGCATTATTTTTAATTGTATTAGATTTCAAATGTTGTAAATATAAGATTATTTTTGTAAATAAACAATCTAATAGTGCTTAATATTTTTGTGGTAAATTATCAAGAACCAAAAAAAATGTATAAATTCACTTTCATCATAATGACTAACCAATTCTAACCATAGCTTTTTAAAGCAATAAACATTGCCAAAGTAAAAGTAGTTAAACTAAAAGCAGTGTCATTGGAAAAACTGTCCTTTTGACACTCCATCTTATTATGGGTACAAAGGTCAGTGTTTGCCAAATAATACATATAAATGTTTTAACATTGTTTTTACAAAGTCTTGTACTGTAGTCTAACTTCTTTTTAACTCAAACTAAATTTTATTAAAATAACATGAAAATAAATTTATTGGGTGATATTAGAAAATAAGGCAGTTGAAAGAATCATTGCACACACACTGTCTGTGGCAATCTTCTCAGTAGAACTAGTGTAGAATTAAGCACCACATAAGGAGTCTTTGATCAGAAAAGAATAGTGATTAATGTTAAAGCTCCAAAATTACATGATTGTCCTAGTTGATTAAGTATATAGAGTTTACCAGGTTGCAAAGAGTTCAATCCTTGGGTCAGGCTGTGAAATCCAAATATTCTGATCTGATGGAACATGTAAAAGTATTGCAAGGACAGATTAAGAAAGAAAACTTCACTAAAAATAAGTTATCTCCCTTAGCAAGGACAGAGGCATGAGATCAATTTAGCCCTGTAGATTGAATAAAAAGTTCAGTTTCAAATTCTAAGAAATATGGCAAAAGAAGTTAAGAGAATATAAAATTTGAAAAGTTGTGACTGTAATTACTAAGATAAAGATAAGCTTGAATAAATTAGTGTATATTCTTCAACAAGAGTAGATCAGTTCACCTATTATCCAGTTCACACTCCTCCCCAGTCTTTTGAACAGGAGTAGAGGTCTATCACTTGTTTCCTGTTTAGGATTGGGTTTTCGGTTCCTTTTAAAGTCTACTTCCACACTATTCTTCTAATGTCTCTGATTGAACTCTGAAATGTTATTCACTAAACTTTTTTCTTTTTCTTCTATCTCAATAGGAGTAAATAGGTTCACACTCCAGAGAATGTAACTAAATCTAAAAGACATGCTTGCGTAGCTAATCAATATTTGATTGATTTTCTATGGCTTATCAACCATTTGCAGGTTATTTAAAGCTAGAAAATATTTTTAAATTGTAAGAATTTGGGGGGGGGATGATAATTATTTACTGAATCAAGCCCTACTAATTAACCCATAACTGGGGGGAGAAATAGTAAATTATGCCTTTCCCATTTACATATGAGTGACTATAACGAAACTGACTGGAATTGGAAATCGGCTCTTGGATTTCCAATTCCGAGCTGTTATTCATTGCATCATCCAAGCTTACAGCACCTGGTATTCCCAAGCTGTCACCCATCTAGTTACTGACCAAGCTCAGTGATTGTACAAGATCTGGTGTTTCAATGTGATGTGCCTTTAAACCTCAAGTATTTGAGAACAAATTTTAATTTGAGGTAATCATTATTTAGCTAAGAAAATTTATTTTATTTTTTACAGAATTTAGTACACATGTTCTTCACTATGCACAAAAGTCTTACATATCACTGCCATCAGCTTTGGTTACAGCCCCAATACCGCTTCTGAAACAATTACATGAATTGATCAAGTTTTCTTTATTCATGTTGGCCATGACACCCATAGCAACAGCCCTCAGCAAGTCCTTGGAATTGGGGACATGCTTGTTGGTGTCCTTCTCATTAACACCCCAAGATATAATAGTCTGTAGGTGTTTAATCAGGAGGGATAACATGATCATGAAAGTGCTTGACATTGTTTAACAAGCTCTTCAACTCTTGAGTACTAGTGGACATGAACTGCCCTCCCCTCACAAGGTAGTATAGATTTGATTGCCACAGGGCTTCATTGATTTTCCAGAGTTCTTATCAATAATATCCCAGACTTGGACAAACTTGATATTCCTGACAATGTCCGACCGTCAAGAATATTGAAGATAAATTCTTAGCAGAGGCTTTGGGCTCTTTTCTTGCCTTAAACACAAATGACCTTAATGGCATTTGAAAGATGTCTGCAATCTCTGGATCTGTGTGGTCAGCAGCTTCCTTTTCTTCTGTGATAATCAAAGCTTCTATAGTGGGGCTTAAAAGAAAAAATGAAACAAGATTTTTAGTTAAATCTGTCACTCATAGCTTTCTAAAGATGTGTTTACCTGACTCGATACTTTATTTTTTTAATATCTAGGCTATGCTAGGTAAGTCTACTATATTTAACTATAAAATAATAAATTAAAAGTTGTTATATTATTCTCCTTTACGGTAGAATATGACAAAACAAAAAAGCTTGTCTTGTGAACCATTCTTTAGAGCTTAATTACTATGGCTTGTACGCTTAATAAATTATAACAATTTTTTCTTGTATATCATTTTATACAAATTTAGGCTTGATATTTAACTTTTTTTCTCATTGAGGTAAAATAGCATGTGTTCAGTTTAATATAAGGACCCATATACATACATGTGGGCAAGAACAAGAATCATCCAGTCTTGTCAACCCCCGTGTCGCAAAGCTATCAGAATACTCTAACCACCCCCCCTTTTGTGGAAGGAGTGGAGGTACTGCATTGGAATCAGAATCTCCAGAATCAGGATCATGTTTTTATTATTATTTTTTATTTTTTTATTATTATTTTTATTTTTTGCATCTTGCTCAAAACACATTCCCCCCCAAAACCTAGACACACAGCAGAGAAGGGCAGAATATATGCTATACTATGATCCTAATCTGAATTTAGGCTTCCATTCATGTGACTTCTATTTATACAAATTAAATTTTATAGAACCTTTCTAGTAAAAATTTTTAAATGTATGTTTTTTTTGTTTTTTTTTCAGGGCCAATTACCCCAAACTATGACGCAAATATCAAAGAATAACAACATAAAGGTTTGTCTACACTTTTTGTTTTGTATTAATTCTTCTTTTATTAGCAGCTCTCATATTATATTTATTTCTATGCTAGGCCTACTAAGGAGATCTTCATAGCCTAGGATATGTTTGGATCCTTTCAGATTCTAAAGAAAGACAAATGACAGCAGCTCTAAGAAAGGATGAAAACTTCAGTGAGTTTAGTCAAGCATCAGAAGCACTCATCAGCAGGCAGATTAGGTTGAAGGCTCACCACAGAGAATTGTCCTACAGGAGAATAGCCTAGTGGATTAAAGCATTGCTTCATGAATTTGGTGAGCCAAGCACTTTGACTCAGTAGAAACAAGGCAAACAATTACTGAGCAGTACTAAAGACACGGACTAGACAAGTTATCCCTAGACATGTGCAGTTATTGCTGACAAGGAATGAGAAGTCTATCCCCACAGATTAAATAAAGGGTTCGGTTCAAAATTTCCTGTAGGTTATCCAGATTGACAAATACCTGATGGAGGACAGAGCACAACAACTGGAATGTTGTGATAACAGCAATGATGGGGACAATAGTCTGCATATAGTGTAAATAATTAGAAACACAAAATTATCATGGATAAGGTTTGACATGACAGCCTTTACTGTCTCTGCACAGCTCAGTTTTTTGAAACCCATACAGAGAGTATTTGTGTCATTATCTACAGAATCATCTATATTTATGTTGACCTGTTACAGGAATTCATTGAATGTGGTTATGCTACAATTACAGGAAGAACTCTCCCAAAACTGATGAATGGAAATAGCAGACCATGGCCAGTTAAATTGCCAGATTCTAAGCCATTAGGGTCGCTTGAGGTTATATAAAACAAGTCTGGCATATAGTCTATAGAGTCCTACTCCTCATTTAAATAATAAGGTTTAAATCAGCCTTGTCCAACATTGGGAATGGGACTTGCCTACAATTAATGTCTGAATAGATTTAACAAAATTTGTGAACCTTTTATCTTTGCCAAAACTATACTTATTGGACTAGATTATCTTGTAGATGTTTCAGTAAGATAGCATCTCTTGTCCTCATGCCACATTGTTTGGGATGACCTGATTGAATGGTTTCCAAATTAGTGGATTTGATGTGTTAAGTAATAGGGTCAGCTTGAATCACTTAAGCTTATTTTGCTTGGGGTTATATCAGATCTTATGTGCATCAAATAAGGATTAGGACCCTGGAGAATTTACTTGATTATATACAAAATGCTGTTCAACAATTTGAGCTGTTGCTGAGAGACTGAAGAATCCCACCCATGATTATTCAATAAGTGTTTCTCATCTTTCAGTCAATAATTTTTTTCATAATTTCAATGCATTTCTTCAAAATAGACAAATACTTTATAGATACCCTGTATAAGAAATGATGACATTGGCTGGGTGAGAATGTTTAAGGGGTGCAATTAGATCATTATCTGAAAATCTTAAGTACAGGGTGCAATGGGTCAGTTGTTGCTATTTTATATTTTTAATTTTGTGCATTCACGTTTTTAATTTTGTTGACTGCATAGTATAGTAGGGTTGGTTGGGTATCATCTGTGAGAAAAAGAGCACCATGATGCAATTCACTCTGTCAGAAATTTGGAAATGGTATGCTGTATTGCTTGGCATTCACACTGGCAAACATTTCAGCATGTTTGGGTGTTAATCTGCAGACAGTCCAGAAAGAGTTAGATGAGTCTAATGGTGATTACAAAGGTGTTTGAAGTGATCACTAGTGATGGTGTTGTTATGCCTCTATTCCCACAGGGCTTTACAAGTGTATAAATTTAGACAGATTTCTTTTTCTTTCTCATGAAAAGAAAGTGAACACATTTTTCTCACCATTTTTTTTTTTTTTTTTTTTAAACAATTTTGTGTTTTATAAAATTAATATCTCATTTTGCTGCTAGCTTAGCATCAGTCGTAAAACAAATTTAAAAATATCACATTGTTTTAAAATTAATCAAAAATAGTTTATTTTTATTTTTTTCTTTAATGAGAATTTTTATTATGCAAATTATAAAAGAGATAGACTTAAGTGGAGATGGTGGCAACGAAGTGTCACAACTGGCTGTTTTATTGTTGATTGCAGCCCTCATTTTATTTGGATGTGAAACAGCAAGAGAAAAATACTATCAAACTAGAGACTGTGTTTTCTTTGACATTATCTAACCACTTTCAATCATACAAGAAGGCAAGGAAAATAAATACCGAACATATTTGCTGCTTCCTCGTAAACATTCATTTCCAAGCAAGGAAATAAAGACTCTAAGATGCAACTGAGGCTGCTACTGAATGTGAGAGAATATGAAAAAAAACACTATTAGGTAAAGAGAGAGCGAGAGAGAACAAGGCAGAAGACGATTATTGACATTCAAGATCAAAATTGACTGGAAAACAAAAAGCTATGAGTGTTCCACAAGCAAGAAGTACAAGAGAAGAAACTGTCACCATAGAACTTGCGGTTACATCTAGCCATTTCAGCTGTAAATTGATGAGACTCTTGCTGCCAATCTCATACTGAACTTAAATTCATAAAATCTAGGTACCATCGAGGAAAGTTCATCAGAACAATTATCTTGAAAATATTTATAGAAAACGCACAGGGAAGTGATGTTATGACAGTTGGAAAGTGACAGAAGATGAGATGCCAGGTCAGGACCAATAACATTGCAGATTCTTCTTTGTATTTTATAAAGAATCTCTAAATATATAGCAGAAGCACTAAACCATATGTGATGGCAATATTCAAAGCATAAACAAATAGATGACTTATAAATGTGTAAGATTCTAGCACCACATTCCTTGCAGCAGACCTAGCAAGTGATTCAATATAAACTTTCCAATTTTAAGATCAGAAAGAAATATAATTTCTGTCTATGTTTCTGGGATGAGGCATTGTAACTATTTACATTGTTCAGACTGTTATCCCCTTCTTTATTGTCACATTCAAAATGTTTTGGCAATTGTACACTCTGACCTTCTTCAGGTGATATCTGTTGCAATTTCAAATAAAACCCTTTATTTAGTCCATGGAGGTAAATTGTTCTAATTTCACATACCATGCCCTTGGATGTCTCAGTTTCGGTTAATTCACCTTGATAAATTTTTGTTCTCTCCACTGAGGCCAGGGATTGAACTCATAACTCTTTTAGTGAAGTCACTTTTAGGATCAGTCAACCAATGCTTTTATCCACATGGCCCAGTGAATAAAATGCGTGGACTAAATAAAGATTTTGGTTCAAAATTCCAACAAATATCACCTGAAGAATGCCAGAGTGTACAACAACTGAAACGTCATGAATGTGACAATAAAGATGAAGACAACAGTCAGGACAATGTAAATAGTTTTTGTGATCTCAATGAACACTTGTTGCCACTTTTGTGATGCCAAAAAAAAAAATACTCATTGTCACTTTCCTAATGCTCGTTGTAGTAGAGACTTTGTAATCGCAGATACAACTATAGTACGCCATTGAACAATGCTGGTGTCAGACACCTTCGAATAGCATTTGCACTTACAGTACTTGTTCGATAATACTTGCACAAAAAAGAACCGAAAAGAGAAATAGTATAGAGAATAGACTAGAAAAATCGATCATTAGTTGTCAGCTACTTCCTATATATATGCGTTTTCTCAATGGTCATGTGGTCTACTTAATTCAATAATGGGATTGCCTGTGTTTGCTCACTGGTGATGCATGTTTAAACTCAAGTGTTGGCAACAACACTTTATTCCTATATAATAATAGTGCAAATAGAAATTTGATTAAGCAGTATTCATTTTCAACTAGTATTTCTTTCATCTTCATTTCATTTTCTCTTCATTACAATAACCCAAAATGTTATTCTGTAGCCATTAAGAAATAGCGAAGATTGGGGAGAGGAGTGTGAAATGATCTCCACAAGAGTTCAATTCACATCAGTTTCACCTTTGGAAACCCATTACATCATGACCGAATTGCAAGAGATGAAGCTAAGCATATTCCTTATATTTTTTGCTAAGCACTGACATATTTTTTCCCTTAGATTTTATTCCCTTTTAGATTTTACCTTTAGTTTCACTCTCTAAAGGAAATAGTCAACTTCATATGCTCTTGGCAATTATTATCAGTAGTAGTCTCGTTATCTTGAGTTTTTATTAGATCAATCACGACCAACCACCATTTAATTTTTTTTTCTTTCCTTATCTTAGTATCTCATCCTTTATCTCAGATTGTCATTCAATGGCCATGAGTAAACAGTAGATTGGAAATAAATTATACACTCAAAACACTTGGACTCTTGTCCTTTTTAGCTTAGAAACCTGTTTTTATGTGCAGAATTGAATAATTTTAATGAATAAGAAAGCAAGTTAAATTAAGATGAAAGAAATAGTAGTCAAAAATCAATGATGGCTAACAATGCTTCATTTAATAATAGAAAAATTCAAAATAATATTGCTGTTAATACTACTAGTGTAATAAAAAGCAATTGAAATTAAGATGGAAGCAATCCTAGTCAAAAACAAGTAATGCTTGATAAGGCTTCATTTAATAATATAAAAAATTAAAATGTCTAATATTATTGTGCCATGGTCTATGTAAGATGTTGACCTTTCAAGGGCAAGTAATCAATGCAAATTTATTAATTAAAACATGCTGTTAACATTATTTTTTAAAAAGTGGGTATCAAACAAGTAACCGCTAACCTTGTTGAGTTTTAATTATTTTATCTAATTAAACATTGGCCTAATTCTTTAAGTTCTTAATTTGATATAATCTATCTTAGTATGATAAACACCACCACAAACTTTCTATAAAAAAAAATTTTTTTTTAAATTTAAAATAATTCAAATGCCTTCTTTGAACTTAAATGTTTGTGTCATTTGAGAGAGAATAGCCTAAAGCCAAACTGAATTAAAAGAAAAGTTAATTTTTGTATATAAATAAACATTTTAGGCATTTTTTTGCATCATTCATTGTATATGAAAAATATAAACAACAAATTTAAAATTCTTTTATTCATACTAATGTAATAAAAAGCAAGTGAAATTAAGATGAAAGAAATCCTAGTTAAAAATGAATAATGGTTCATAAGGCTTTATCTAATAAGGATAAATTCAAGATAATATTACTACTAATACTACTAATGTAATAATAAAGCAAGCAAAATTAAGATGAAAGAAGTACTAGTCAAAAAGGAATAATGGTTGACAAGGCTTCATCTAATAAGGATAAAAGTCAAGATAACATTACTAATACTATTATTATGGAATAAAAAGCAAGTGAAATTAAGATGAAAGAAATCCTAGTGAAAAATGAATAATGGCTGACAATGCTTCATCTAGTAAGAATAAAATTCAAGATAATATTACTACTAATACTACTAATGGAATAAAAAGCAAGTGAAATTAAGATGAAAGAAATCCTAGTCAAAATTGAATCATGTTGACCATACTTCATCTAATGATAACAGTTCATAATAAAATTTAATTATTTTTCATTTTTTTTTTTTTTTTTTAAATTTTCCTGTCCAGACCCATCCGAGTGTCAGGATTCGAGGTACAGAGACCAATTTCAACCCCGTCCAATGTTTAGAACCATCATGTCGAAACAAGAACCCACACATGCACTGTCCATTTTGTGTCAAGTCAGAGTCTTACCAGGATCCAGTCATTTTGAAGGCTCATTATCGTGTCAAACACGTAGATAAAGGAATTGAGTTTGCAGGTAAGTCCTCTTAAACTCTTTCTTCACTATAGAATGGTGGAGGTGGTGTAGCTCTTTACATAGACTAACATTTTTATAATTACTTAAAAGCAGATCAGCACATTTCCCAGTGATACTGTCTTTACCCAATTCTCATTAATTTAAATCCTGAGTCTGTTTAAACAAAATTAGCACAGGGCATTTTAAAATCGTTAACTTTTCATTTATCCAAGACTTCAGAAAAAAAAATGTCTTGTGAAAGATTCATGATTTACTATGTTGTCCATTTGTTTGTATATGATATAATTTTGGAAACAATTGGGTGTTGGACTAATAACAACTTTAATGTTGGTCAACTAATGTAAGAACCAAGATGGATGTATTTGTGAAACGTCATAAGTGCAAGTAAATGCTAAAGTTTATGAAGCATACAAAGTGAGTAATTTACTCACATATAAACAGGTTTTTTTTTTGTTTTTTATGAGTGAAGCAGTTGTTGCTGTTCTGGTTAGAGCTTTCGGTAAAACAGTTGCTGGACACAAATGGAAGATGTATTTGGCTTCATTATTGGCAAATGAAAGAAATAGTTAAATTTATATCAGGAGCAACAGCATTCAAATTTGGTAGAGGAAGCAAAATTCAGTCTTTTGAAGAAATGGATATTCCTCATGTTATTAGGGGTCTAAAGACAACTCTAAGAACCGAAGTAATGGAGAGTGATATTCCCTGGCTGCTCAGCAAACCAGACATGAAGAGAATGTAGGGTAAAGTTAAACATGGTGAATAATGCATTGGAAGATCTAGTGAGTTAGATGCAATATCATCTGGACATTTATTACTTTCCATTGTGTTATGAATTTGCAACATATAAAGATATGAACCCCAGGTTCCAAAAAGAAAAAGATTTCACTCAGATAGGAACACATGACACGGGTGTTGGAAAACACCAAACACAAGATGAATGTCTGAATAATTTTATATAACAAAAACAACCAAATATGGAAATAGTCTGGGATAACAGATGTAAAATCAATAAAAGGCACTTATCTGATATTGTTTACTACACACAGGTACACTTAGCAGTATTTGTAAATTTGTAAATTCAGATGTTTATAATTGCAAATAGACAGAATCTTTTTAAAATGTCCAAATAAAAAGTCTAGTTCTTCTTTCTCTCATATAAGCTGGATGACTCTAGACTGGTACATGTACTGTGTTTCCTCTGGAATTACACTCACAGTGAAATTGGTATGGAATCTTCAGGTATAATATTCTCTTATTGTCTACACGTCAAATCCACAGACTTCAGGAATTATATTTTATTCACTAAACATAGAGTAGTTGAATAAATCTCAGATCCTTGGGAATGATATCTCCTCATACAACAAGTAATAGAACAAATTCAGAAATGCGTTTCTAATTAGCACACACGATGAAAGTCAATTTACTCTTGAACTATTGTGGTCGGTGATTATCGGGAAACTGAAATTACAATTAAAAAAATTGGGGTGATCGACTTTTACTTACTTACCTTAGGAGGTCAATCTGTCTAGTTGTCAAGTGGCACAGATTCTTTCCTGCGATCTCTTAGTTGAGACAGGACTTGGTGTAGACAGGAAATAAATAAAGAAAAGAAGACAGAAGAGGAAACACCATGTGTGTCCCTTAATAAATTGATCATGCATCTGATTAAACATTCAACATTGAGGACCATGTCACAACTGAAAGAATGTGGGGTAAATTTTAAGGGTGTGCACATGGCACTGAACAGAAAACATGCCAAAAAGCAGAAGAGCATATTGGGGAAGAGAAAGAAGTTCCACTTACAGTTTCAGAAGTCTTTGTGGTAAAGTTGATAATTATCTAAAATGCTTGATGTTCGAATCAATTATGCATTTCAAAAAGGATTGTTCACACCCTGAATTCAGAAGACTTGCAGTGGCACATTTGTCTCTTGGCAAATTTGTATACAATGTCCAAAATTCAAAATATTTCTTCCAGGTTTCATAATCTGGTCCTTAAGTTATTGAGGAGTTTTCATTTCGCACTTAGAGGATGTTTTAACTATACTCTGCTACCAAATGTTATGGTTTACGAGCATATATTCAAGTACACTCAAATCCTCTCTGTATTTCGTAAGACCTCCTTTGCTTTTGATTACTGCTTGGATGCAGTGAGACATACTGAGAATAAAGTTGTTACAGTAGTCAACCGAAATTTCTTTTGTCCAGACGTCTTTAATAACCAACCTCTCTCATTGCTTCAGTAGTTGAAAATTGTTTTTCTGAAACTTTACTTTTGACAATTTCCTATGAATGGTCAATTGAGGTCTTTCCCAGCCAGTCCAGTGTTGCCAACTGTTGTATCTCATGTATTCAAGATAACAGAGAGAAATAAATAAGGAAGACAAACTTGTAGGTAAGTAATGAAATAAAAAGTTTACTACACACAGGTACACTTAGCAGTGGACATAATGCTAACTCTCCTCTACTCAGCTTATTTATATAAATGGACAATTCCATTCATTTATGTCCTGTATGACATCTCCCCCTTTTGAGATTTCACTCCCTTCGGAGTCATACTTTTACGTTTAGGGTTTATTTCTAATCTATCTGGCGGTCGCTGTTTTCTTTTCATGGATTGTCTCATTACTGGAATTGTTTGGGGAACGGTTACATCGAAGAACACATCCATTGATTTCTCTCTGTGTGCATTTGTATATCATCCTCGTTGCCAACTGTTGTATCTCATGTATTCGAGATAACAGAGAAATAGATATAAACAGACAATTCCATTCATTTATGTCTTGTATGACAGTCATGCTGATCCTCTTCACAATCATTCCAAACAACCTTTGGTCAGTGGCATGAAGCAGCATTATGCATAAATACTGTGCACTAATGAATGTGCATATGCAGTTCCACATAGCTTGCACTATTTATCATTGTACCTGGCAGCAGATTCCATCTTTTCCAGACTTGGACATGGCACCCCAAATTATTTGGCTTGATGGGTGCTTCATAGTCTGAATTACGTAGATTTCATCAAATCTTTTACCAGGGGTTTCTCCTGGTTACGAGCTTTCTTTAAATACAGGTCTTTGTCCACTCATCAAGTCTCCATGGTTTCAGGACAAAATTATTTAATTAGATTATACAGTAACAAAACACTTCTGACCCATCTATTATACATCTACCATTAAAATGTCTTAACTTGACTCAAAAACAACTTTATTAGTCAAAGTAAGCATTGTTATAATTGACATATCATTGGCAATGATTCTACAGTGAACTTATTCTATCAATAAAAACTGTTTTTTCACAGGAGGGTATGAAACTGCTCAAAGGCATTTTTAACCTGATCCACATGGCTGCATATTTGCTACCATGTGTATGCATGTAAGGCCTGAATAGAGTGGTAATCAGTAGGGGACAGATGTGATGAATACAGGCAATGGGAAAGGACCTTTATGTCTAGCTGCATCATTATGGCACACCATCAAATTGTTCAGGGGATGTTTTGGAGCTGCAAATTTGGTTTTTGACAAGGTTAAGTTAGAAGCAATTTGGTTGACTCCCCCAAAAATCTGTACATCTAATTTTCATACAAAAACCACTTGGTCAAAAAAAAAAAAGAAAAAGAAAAAAAGGGAGTGGTCATTTGAAAGAGAGGAGCAAACTACAGCAAGTGGGAAAACTGCAAGATGCTGCTCATCAGTTAAATCATGGGTGGGTTCCCAGTTTTGCATTTTCTGAACTTTACCAATTTGTGCCAGATGTCTTCTGACTCTTGTATAGGCTAAACTCCCCCCCCCACTACACACACAGTTTACTCTTTTTGAGCCTCTATACTAGCCTTCAACTTTTCAGTATCAAGTGACAATTTGTCACCAAGTCTTGGAGATCTAGTTAGCCAGAAGCCAATTTTTTAGAGCCAGTGACACAAGGACCATTCTGAAGTTGACTCCAACCCCAAAGCTCTGTGGATAGTGTGACTAAATTGAACAATGGCAGGGTTTGAAGTCATGGAATAGAACATAAACCATAACACACAAAAAACATCATTTCTTTGCATTGATGCACTAAAAAAAAAAAGAAAAAAAAAAGCTAACAACACCCAGAAAGAGAGACAACTTTAAAATGGTATATAGATATATTCATAAACGGAAGGGTACAATGCAAAGCAACCAACTATACTAATGTAACGCTAAAACAAACATTTATTTCATTCCAACCAAATATGAATAAAAAACGTAGATCAAATTGTGAGCAGATTCCAAGAAGGTCAGGAAAATGAACAACTTGTCTAAGCTTTTACTGAAAATTTATCACTGCCAAAAGAAAAAACAAATCTGTTTGTAAACCAAGCTGATCTAGCATGTTACGAGGGGGTGATGAAAAATCCTCAGCCTGACCCACTTCACAAAATTTGACCAAATTTTAGAATCTATTTTGGAATCTCTTGGTCTAGTTAAGAACTTTTTACTAACCCTTAGCATAATACATCATAATTATTTTTCTTTTCCAGGTTTGAAAATCTTGCGATGCTGTGACCATTGTGATATTGTGGGCATTATTAAAGGAGAAAAAAAATTTAAAAGAGCACATTGGCACTGTTACAAGTGCCGAAATGGATTCAATCGACGGGATGAAGCCATCAAGCATTACAAAACACACTTCCGAAATCCACAGACAACATTCCAAATTCAAATTGCACAAGTTAGTATGATTGCTTTTTTTTTTTTTGTTTTTTTTAGGGGTGGCTGGTGAGCAACTGTAAATAAAACTTTGTAATGTACAATTAGTCACCTGTTTAGAGTGAACTTTTTACAATGTGTAAAGCCGTTTCTCTAAAATATAGTTTACCCTTTCTTTTCCTTATTTTTTAATTTTTTTTTTTATTTCACCCCAAGCAAGCTGATAATGCCACTAAACTGCAAGGGGCTACTGGGAGTGAAAGAGAATGAGAAAATTTTAGAAGGAACCAGAAACCCAATCCTTAACAGGAAACAAGGGATAAACCTCTACTCGTCTATTCACCCCAAACAAGATGATAATGCCACTAAGATGCAAGGGGCTACTGGGAGTCAAAGAGAATGAGAAGACTTTAGAAGGAACTAGAAACCCAATCCTAAACAGGAAACAAAGAATAAACCACTACTCCTGTTCAAAAGACAGAGGAGGGGTGTGAACAGGGTGACAGGCATATCTATCTACTCCTTTCATATTACTGTATTTTGACATTAGTATACAATTGTGTTTTTCACAGTCTCAGATCCCATTACTCCCCATATGATCCCAGGTTTACTCAATTCCTTCCCCATTTTGAATTGTTATCTAGTAATTCTTTCACTGTTGAATTTGTTGTCTACATAAGAGAGAAATTTCTCTCCGAGATGTGAGCATGGACCAACTCTTAATTGTTGTTGGTCTACCATGTTAGGGTCCCAGCTATGGGCAAATAGTGCCCCCCCACAAAAACAAAACACTATGAAAGTGTTAAAAATACAATTCTATAATAAAAATACCAGCAATACATCCTTAAATATAATACGCTACAAACACACACACACACACATATATATATATATATTTAAGTTTTTTTTGTGTGTAACTATTGAGGTGCAGTATGCAAAATTTTGACATGAGACACACAGAAGACATGGCCCTCAGTCATGTCCACATGCAAAAAGCTACTGAAAGAAAGCATGAAAGAAAGAAATGTGGGGTAATAGAAAGAGATAGAGAAAGGAGATAAAAATTTGGCCAAGGTTTATATTTTATTTTAGCTTGAACTAGCAGCATGGCCCGGCGTTGCCCATGCTTGATTCAAAAATCGTACAACTCATACAGCAATCGCTATCACTTGACTTAAAATATTTTTTCCCTTCCTTGCCTTTAAAGGAGTGTCCTTTGCCATGCTGATGTTGCTACATGCCTTACTTCTTGCCTATCTCACACTGCGAATTTTTTCTAAGCTCTAAATAAATATAGACAGATACTCGAGTGCTGGTGTTAATGAAATAGTATTTGATGTAATATAAGCTATTAAGTATATATTAGAAAATATAGATATTATCCCTCCTCAGAGTTTCATGCATGATGCAATTTTCAGGTGATGGTTAGAAACTGACCATTACATAATTTAAATTTTAATAAGCATATCTGGTTAACACAATGTTGGTAAAGTCTATATATTATATGGGTTATTTTTTTTTCTTAAAGAAATATAAGAATATTCAACCAAAAAAAAAATATTTCTTAAATATTACTTGCTTACTTTTGTCTTACCAGATTTTGAATTATGGCACTTTGTGTCCTCTGCAAGTTTTGACTGACCTTTCAACCACCTAATGTTTAGGAACATTCTCAAATTTAAAAGCCTTGATAAACCAATGACATACATTACGTGTTACTAAGCAAACTACCATCAAATTTAGTGTGAAGTTATTTTTTCAAAAAAGGTGTTCCCTCCCCCCTTACAAACGCGCACACTCATATCTGCTAAAAATTTTAACTGTCACTTTTCATTACCCTTACATGTAGGAGGTGAATCAAGTGTCTCATTTAGCGGCAACCCACACTATCAGTCAAGAAGAAGTGACAATCCATCCAGTACTTGCAGATGCTGCTATTTTGTCATCACCAAATACAGAACAGCACAGTAAGTCACATTTGTTGTATTAGGTTGGTGCAAAAATAATGTCGCTTTTTGACGTTCAACTTAACGTCAAAAACGACATTATTTTTGCACCAACCTAATATATAAAAATCAAATGCTTAAAAAGAATTTGAAGTTTGATTTTCATTGTTTGTATCTGCATGAGTCCTAAATAATAAGTATTATCTTTGTTTATCAGTTTTATTCTTTAAAATGTTACAATTGATTCCCCAAAACAAATGACTGATAACAAAACACTCAATTTTCACACGCACACACACACACACACACACACACACACACACATATATATAATATATATATATATATATATATATCACAACCAAAGGGTTATATTTTAGTCTGGCTATCATGTCTAGTAGATTGTCATAAATAATGAGAATTTTTACTTATCAACTTTCTTCTTTAAAATATTACTATTGGCTGCCTAAAATGGAAATTACTTATGACTACTCAACCTAATATACAGGGTGCGATGGGTAAATTGTCGTCTAAATCACCAAAAAAAAAAATGAAAATAACACTGGCATCCCATTTTAACAGATATATTTACCAAAATTACACAAAGATATCTTGAAACACTAAAGAGTAAATTTATTCAATAAAATCGCCATTGGCTTCAACCACAGCCTCCAAACAACTTTGTAATCTCCTGCAACTCTTCTGGACGGTCTCTTTGTTTAAGTTGGTGAATGCTACTATAATCCTTGCCTTCAGTTCATCTTTGGTATTCCAAGGAGTTTTGTTGGTCTCTCGCTTAACTGCACCCCACACATAATAATCAAAGGGTTTGCAGTCTGGGGAATTAGGCGGCCTGATGTAAAGGGTGATGCGGTCACAGAAATTGTCTGACAGACATCACTGGGTTCTCCTGTTTGTGTGGCATGGTGTAGAGTCCTGTTGCCATAAATAGGGTCTTCCAGCAACCACCCTCTTGATCCAGGGCAGCACTGTTTCTCAAGGCACTTGATGTAGGCCTTCATATTGAGTCTGGGGCCCTGTGGGAAGATGAATAGAGGCATAATGTCCCCATCACTAGCAATAACTCCAAACGCCTTCATAATCACTGTTATTCTCATCCAACTCTTTCTGAATCCTCTGCACTATCCTCAGATTGACACCCAAACACTCTGGAATGTTCATATTGGAGCTTCTGACATGAATGCCAAACAGTACAGAATACCGTTTCCAAATTTCTGGCAGAGTGAACTGCATCGTGGTGGTCTTTTTCTCTCAGACCGTGCCCAACTGATCCTATTTACTGTGCAGGCGACAAAATCAAAAACAATGTACATGCATGAAATTAAAAATATAATTTACCCATCACACCGTGTGTGTGTGTGTGTGTGTGTGTGTGTATATATATATATATATATATATATATATATATATATGAGATTGCATATTGAGTGCAGGTGCTAATAAAATAGTGCTCAATGTTTAATAACAGAGCTATAATTTATATTAATAATAAATATACATTTTTCCCCCCTCATTGGTAGCACAACTCTGAGTTTCATGCACAATGCAATCATCATGTGCTGATTGAAAATAATTTAAATATTGCTACCATACTGTAATGATAGTGGAGCAATACATTTATTTACCATGAGGGTGTAATAGAATATATATATATATATATATATATATATATATATATATAAAATCAGGAGATCAGCTGAATCCACCATCTTGATTTCAACCTTACAGTATCCTTATGCACTTTATATCAAATGACCTCTTAGTGCTTTATTTTAAAAAGGCCTAATAAATGCTATATTATCTTTTTAAAAATATAAATAAATGCATGACATTGGATATAATAGAAAGTGAAGAAGGAAGGAGGAGAAGGAGGGGGAAGCAAAGCAAAGCAAGGGGGAATTATAAAGGTATCAGTGGGAGGTTAATTGAAATGTACATTTTCTTTTTTTTCTTTTCATCATCCAGCCTCTGATCCAAGTTTACTTTTTTTTAACTCCAACTGCACATATGGTTATTTTTTTTTTTCTTTCTTTGTCTCTAGTGCAAACCTGGATCTGTGTCTAACAGTTTTTTTTTTTTTTTTTTTTGCTCTACTGCAATCCACACCCATGTCTGAAGTGCAACAAGACATGTCTATTTATCTATTGATTTATTGGGATTTAATTCTGGGAAACTTATATTTGAAATTAAATAACCCAAAAAGTATCAATGTCTTTAAATTAACCTAACCTAATTTTAACTAGAAATGACGTTGGAAAATGTAGTTTTATCCAAATGATAAAAAGTCAATACTTTATACAAAGAATGCATCAAATTTTCACTATTTCTTGTTTCAGCCTTTGTTACAAGAACGACGGGCAGCAATGTGACAAATGGCAAGTCAAGTGACGGTGCTGTCCATGTGTCTGTAGCTGCAAATGAAACGGTAGACACATCTGATAGTCAAACCATCATGATTATCAAGGAGGATATTTCTAACCTGAACAATTCTTTTGCAACACAAATAATTTCCAATGAAGTAAGTTAAATAAGTAAGCCTTTCTCTTTGCTTTTCCTTTCTCTTTGCTTTTCCTTTCTCTTTGCTTTTCCTTTCTCTTTGCTTTTCCTTTCTCTTTGCTTTTCCTTTCTCTTTGCTTTTCCTTTCTCTTTGCTTTTCCTTTCTCTTTGCTTTTCCTTTCTCTTTGCCTTTCCTTTTTCTTTTCCTTTCTTTGCTTTCTTTGCTTTTCCTTTTCCTTTTCCTTTCTCTTTGCTTTTCCTTTTCCTTTCTTTCTCTTTCTTTTTCCTTTCTCTTTGCTTTTCCTTTGCTTTTCCTTTCTTTGCTTTTCCTTTCTCTTTGCTTTTCCTTTTCTTTGCTTTTCCTTTCTCTTTGCTTTTCCTTTCTCTTTGCTTTTCCTTTCTCTTTGCTTTTCCTTTCTCTTTGCTTTTCCTTTCTCTTTGCTTTTCCTTTCTCTTTGCCTTTCCTTTCTCTTTCCTTTTTCTTTTCCTTTCCTTTTTCTTTTCCTTTCCTTTCTCTTTTCCTTTCCTTTCTCTTTTCCTTTCCTTTCTCTTTTCCTTTCCTTTCTCTTTTCCTTTCTCTTTCCTTTTCCTTTGTGCAGATTTTTCTTTTCTTCATCGTGTGTGTTCATGTGCATACACCCATGTGCACATAATTGTCAGGTCACTCAGAGTTCTAGAGTTTTCTGGTGAAGAAGCGTAGCTAGACTTTAATGGGATGAATGTACATCTAGCACAAGTGTGTGTATCTAGAAAAACCTGGGTTGGTGTCCAGGCACATGGTAAGAGCACTGGGAATATTGGACCCCTTAGCCATTGTTAAGGAGACTGAAAACTCTGTAATATCAGTGACTTGACAGCATTCAATTATGTTGGCTGGTTCTTCTTTTGGAGTACATGCTGTCCTTGCTTAGAGAGTCAGATTGACACAGTGCAACGTCTTTGTCCAATTTTTAAAATTTTGTGCACAGATATTAATTAATATTACAAGCTGATATTTTACAATGTCCATAATCAGCTATGAGGTGGCAGCTATATATATTGAAGATATATAAACAAATATTTACTGTATTTGAATTATTAAAAAACGAAAATTATTTAAACAAGAAATAAAAAAAAAAAATAACCCATATTTTAAGAAAATCCCAGAATATTCAAGAAAAATTAGTCTAAAGATAAGCCCCGTCTATGACACCGGAAATAACATTGTTAAATTATCATTGGCACTCAGGGCCAAAAGAAAGAAAGAAAGAAAGAAAGAAAGAAAAGCAGGGAAAGAAATAGCAAAAGAGTATAAGGCAACAATTCCCAAATGATGGAGCTTGCCTCATAGGTGCAGTGGAAGAGGATAAAGACAATCAGATTTAGAAACAGTTTTTAAAAATTCATATACCAAAGATAAATATGATTTCAAACTTTAAAATATTATTATGGATTATTTGTAATTGCATGCATGAGTCACAGTATAAATAGTTATAAATAATTATTGATTGATTTTTATCATTGTGATATTTTTGCATTATACCAAGTATTAAGAATATAGTAACTATTGTCAACAAATTGGAGGAGAGAGTTATCACTAATAATGTTCTGACTTTGAATCCTCGATTATCTTCATTTAACCCTCTCTCTGTTTCTTTATTTTTAAATGTACTTTTTATCACATAAAATTTGGTGAAAATAAGCAAATTTTCATCCTGAAAATGCAGCCCAGAGAAAAAAAATTGGGGGAAAACTGGTATAAGGCAAGAAAATTATGAAAAGATGATATAATCACAACATTCTACACATGTACACATACACACACACACATACAAAGAAGGAAAAAAATCAGCCTAACACCAATAAAAGGCACATAATTTTTTTTTTTTTAACTTAATATAAAAGTAACAAAAATGAGAAAATTAGTAGACAATTACTGATACCTCCTGATGAGTGGTCTGAATGATTACAAAAAGTTTTGTCTGCAAAACTCTGGAGTCAGGGTGCTGAATATCAATCAGCCAAGTGACAAGTTTTATATTTGTATTAATTTATATATATAATATTAAATAAAAACAAACCACTTTAAGGTTCCATGTAATAAATTATTTCACCACAGCGCTTTTAAAAGGACTGCGGATCATCAGACTTGACTTCCAAACAAAAAATGAAAAGGAAATTTACACATTTTTGACGGGCCGTATTAAATATATGTAAATTGAGGAAGTGAGGGGGGAGAGAGAAGACATGAGTGAGTTAGCAGATATTGACACATTTAAACGGTTAACTTAACGGAAGTTATATATTGAAATCGAAGGGGTAGAGAAGAAAAAAACTCATAGAGAGAAGAAGAGGGAAGGAAGTTAAGAGAGAAGATGATGTCAGTAATTTTCTTTGTAAAAAAAGGCTAGAAAGAGACGCTGTTATTTTGCTTTACTTTGGAACCTTAAAGTGGTCTGTTTTTATTTAAATTATTTGCTCTGAATTTACATTGAGCTCTCTGGATTTTATCTTCCTTGGGTTTACTCATACAGATTACCTAGTTTTCCATAAACTGTGTGTGTGTATATATATATATATATATATATATATATATATATATAATATGTGTCTTTTTTTATGTAAGTAGGTATATGTGGGGAAAATTGCACCCATTGGCATTCATTGACACTTGATAAATGCTTAGAGGCCAAACAATGGATGTGAGTACAGTTAGGCAGTGGGTAATGTATTTTTAGCTCTACTACTTAAACATGTGTAACAAACTATATTCGTGGTGGTTCTTCACAGTTTTCAACCACTGGCAAAAATATGTGACCATGTGGAGGAGAGGTGGGAATAGTGTTTTGTAGCTGAAAATTTATTCTATCCAAAGGTGTTGTTATGCTCTCAGTATTGATTATGGTTTCCATGGTAATAACTAGGAGGAATTACTTTTGAATCGTGTGTGTGTGTAAGACATACACTGACCCATTCAATTTCACTTCTTTGTTTCACAACAGGATGTGGCAATTCTTGATGATAAAATATCCTCTGAAAAGCAATATGCCCTTCTTCAGGACAAGTATGACCAATTGGTGGTAGAGAAAGCCCAAATAGAACAAGATTACAAAACAGAAATCAATCACCTCAAATTGCAGGTAAGTTAAGTCTCTTGTTGACGTTCCAGTTTGGTTTTTAAAAAAAAAAAAAAAAAAAAAAACAACAACATGCCATGATTTCTGGCTGTCACGTGTTTGTTTCCATGACTATTTTTTTTCATTGTTGTTCTCATAACAGTCATATCCACTAAATGACAGATAACCAATATTATTTACAAATTCACATTGATGATGAGATAAAGAACAAATAGGAAACATCTGTCAACCTAACATGTTTCACTTTTATTAAAGCTTAGTCACACTGACAAAGCTTTATAGATTGATGTTTTTTTATTTGTTCTTTATCTTATCCTGTCTGATTCTGATCCCTATTTGATTTTTAGCTTATATACATACACGTTTTCAAAACACAGTGAAATCATTTAATTTTTCCATCATAATTTTCTCTTCAAGGTTGTCCAAGGTTTGTTTAGCAATTTCTTTTGCAAGTGCATTTTTATTGATATATGTGACGGTTACACACCTGGCCCAGTGTCGGATCCTTTGGTTACGGCGCCAACGGTGACGTCGCTCCTCCTGGTCGCTCCTCCTGGGTCCAAGCGTGCCGCTCCAACCCTTTGGTCAGATGATCACCAGCCTCGCCTTTCCCGACTCGCTCCAATACCTGGTCACTAAAGCAACTATACCGATCTCGGTCTGTCTACCCACGCTGTGTTTAGATCTTAGACAGACGGGACCAGCAGGGATCGGGGCCGATACAAGTTGAGTCCGACGGGGGTGGCAAAACACAAATAAAATAAAACTCACGACACCAAACAAAATTGCTGATAAAAAGGGTAACAACCTTTTATATCTTAAAGTCCGTTACATAAAAAACAAAATTGTTCTCATTTCCCGACCCGCTCTGTGGACTATGGCACCAAGCTTCTATCACACAATAGAAAAATGTCGAATTACCTACTTTCTAGAATCATGTATGTATGTCGGAGTGTGGTTCAGTTCGACACTGGGGCTAATTTCTATCGATCATTCGCAGTTGATTCTTCTCTCCGACTTGAGTTGTATTTCTTCTTCTTCGTCTGCTTGGGCTGGTAGTTTTCCTGTTTCAACTTGGTGGAAGATTTCTTGTTTCAACTTAGCCGCAACTCTCTGTCGTCTGAGGTGGTCTCTTCTCACTGCCGTCCGGAGCTGAACTTTAACTTCTCATCGACTTTTCGGCTTGTCTGCAGCTCCAATTCTTCTCAGGCTTTCAGGCAATCTTCTTCTTCATCTACTTGGGCTGGAAGTTCTCCTGTCTTCGACTTGGGCTGGAAGGATTTCTTGTCTGAGGATTCTTCTGCCCGCCAAAGGGGCGAGTGAATCGGGCCTGATGGCGCGTTCAGGCTCTATCCCTGCCCGCGGTCCAACTCTCAACTGCAACTGCAACTCTACTGATTTCTGTCGACTGGGGTCCTGCTTATATTGGCCCGCAACAAACCGGGGGTGGGTCTGTCGGCGTCAGGGTTTCTCGACAATTCAAAAGCTGCATTAATTCTGTCTTCTCATTATCGCTATTGTTTTCACCCTACTTCCTCATAGTACCTTTGGTGGGCGGCGACATCCATCTCTCTTAGTCTCTCGTATGTCAGGTGACCGCTTTTCAACCAATCGTTCCTGATCTTTCCATTTCTTTCCCTTTTCTTCCGATCAAACAGGTCACGTGATCGTATTCGACCAATTGTTATTGATCAAACATTTCTTTCCCCTTTTCTTCCGCAGGTCACGTGATCGTATTCGACCAATTGTTATTGATCGAACATCCTCTCCCCTCTGTTTGCGGGCGTGGTTACATCGTTCTTGTTTAAAAAAACAAAATCCAATTTGCCCTTTTTTGCACGTCGCAAAATGACAATCTTTGGCTTTCTCTCACCTGGACTTTGTCAAACAGCCCGCTGCTAATTAGTCTTGACTTTAGAAAGGATCTTTTCCGCCTTCTTGGCGCCCTCTGTGAGCCAAAAGCAATTGTCCCTTTTTACCTCTTTGTTTTACCTGATAGTCGAAAATCTTAATTATCTACATTGAAATGTCTCTACTTTATTAACGTGGGTGTCCAATTCTTAACAGGTCTGTATATCGTTCCACGGTCACTCCCCTCAACCCAAAGACACTTTTTCTCTGATTAAAAATTGTTTCATTGTTCCCAAAATTTCTCTTTATCCAAATTGATAAGGTGTCTTTCCATGCAAAAAGTAGGCTAGGTGCTCTGACCGACATTCTTACCAAAATGACTTTCAAAATCGCCAAGACGCTGACCTAAATCTCTTTCTGACTCCTATCTCCACCCTCAATTGGGTCATCGTCATACATTTCTCTTTCTTTTTTTTCTTCCCTTCCTTCCTTTTTTCCTTTCTTTCCTTCTTTTTTCCTTAGGATCGTCTAGTACACTCTTAGTGAATTATTTTCAACTCAGTTATTTTCCGTTTAAAAAAAAAAAAATTAACAACCTGTTTAGTAACCGAGTAAGAAAAAAATTAAATCATATTTCTATGAATATTTCTAATAATGCAAGGTGCCACATATACATAGGAGGCTGTACTGAATAGAAAGGTGTTACAACAAGAATTTTTCAGTCTCCTTCTCATATATATATATATATATATATATATATATATATATATATATATATATATATAGCTCCTGTGGAGCATGGGGCCACAACCACATACACTAGGTGTTGCTGTCCTAGTTTCCAGAGCAAGTAAATCTTTACAGGGTAGAGTTGCTAGCCCTGCACCCAAATGGCTGTAAATTCCAAGTTATCTTTTTCTTAGGCTGGCTACCAGTCAAGGCTAGAGAGGCCTGTCTGCTCAACTATTAACTCTTAGTTGGAGGGACAGAAGGAGTCATAGCTTTTGTGCAAAAGTAATTGCAATGGCCTCAGCTGGAATTTGAACTCAGTACTCCACCCTCAATTTTCATACCAATAACTGTTACACTATGTCTACGTCCACTGTTAAAACTGATCCATTCACTCTAATAACTATATAGTCAAGATGCTATCCAAAATTTTGGAAAGCTTAAGACAAATTAGTAGCTTCAAAAGGAGGAGGCAATGCTTAACCTTTGTACCCACAAAAAACATGTGTCAAAAGGATGGTTATTCCCCTGACACTGCTATTACTGTATACACTTTTGACTCCCTCAGAAATTTTTATTGTGAACATTATAAAAATATATGAACTTAGTACATGTCTATATTTCTGAGATGAGGTATTGTAATTATTTACATTGTTTGGACTGTTGTCCTCATCTGTATTGCCATATTCACATGTTGGCCATTGTACGCTCTGACCTTCTTCTCAAGGACACATGGCCCAGTGGATAAAAGCGTTGGTTGGCTCCAGTGACTTGAGTTGTGAGTTCAATACCTGACTACGGCAGTGGTGAACAAAAAGTTAGGGAGATAACTGAGACATCCGGAAGAGGCATGACATGTGGAGCTAGAACAATCTACCCCAGTGGATGAAATAAAGGGTTCAGTTTGAAATTCCAGACACCTGAAGAAGGCCGAAGCATACAATGGCCAAAACGTTGTGAATATGGTAATAAAGATGAGGATACTAGTACAACACAATATTTACCTTTTTTCTTTAAGCTTTTCACCCCAAGAAAGGCAGGAAGCCACTAGCATGCAAGGGGTTACAGAAGATTTGGATCAAGATCAGATAGGAGTGATAGAGGAAAGGATGAGGAGAAGGATAGATCAAGATAACTGGAGATATCGATTGACATTACATTTGAATAGTTGGAGATTATAGCTGTCAGGGAAACAGAAATAAGGGAGGGAGTTCCACAGGTGAGAGGTGCGAGATATGAAGCTATTGGAGTAGAAGAGACGGCTACATTTAAAAGTTTCAGCAGTGAAAGGGTGAGAGTGGGATGCCAGCCTCGTAGGACGTTTGAATTCGCAAAGTCTGGGAACCAGCAAAAGCAGCTCATCAGAGCAATTACCATGGAAGTATTTGTAAAAAAGACAGAGAGAGGCGACAGCGCATCTGTGAGAAAGCGACTGCAGATGAGATGCCAGATAAGAGCCTGTGTTTAAAAATAAAAATTACAAATTATCAAAATATGTAAGAAGTGACAGTCTCAACCTGTTTTAGGGAATTCATAGTGATTTTTCTAAGCAAAGCTTAGATTTGGCACAAGGCCAACAGTATAAGGGCAGCCAGTGAGGATCAAACTCACTCGTAACGGTTCTGGTGAGCCAAGCTTGCTAATCATTACACCATGTTGAGGTACCTCTGTTTTATTTAGTGAGAGCAAATGAAAGAAAATGTCTGGAAAATGCATTTTTTTTTTTTTTTTCAAAACAGTTAAAATGTTTATTTAAATTTTCTCTTTCAGATTTTTATAAATTTATTAATAAAAATTTTTTTGTTCTTATTTATTTTTTTATAAAATGGTAAATAATAAATATTTCATTATAGTGGATTCACATTTTTATAATCTTGTAAATAAGCAATCTAATAAATAAATAGCATTTAATATCTTTATCGATTCTCAAGAATAAAGAAAACTTATAAATCCACTTTCATGGATTTGGGCTTTATTAATCTTTATCACTCTTCATTATTCACCACATTCCTTTCCACTGCATTGTATTTCAAGGCTTTTCTATTGCACTACTTAATTTCAGTCATGGTCATTTTCTGTTGTCATAGCAGGATATGACAACACAACTGCAAAATACAAAAAAAGCTATGATTCATTCATCTGAGTCACTTGCAGTGGCAGGATAAAATTTTTGCTTTGCAAACAAAATTACCACCAGAATGTTAAAGGTTAAAATTCTAATCATTGCTTTTTAAAACAAACATTGCCAAGGGAGTCTAAAGTTTATACAGTAATAGCAGTTATCAAGGGAATTAGTGTTCTTTTGATATACTATTTTTTGCATTGTCAATAAGATTCTTCATTTTCTGGCAGTGTTTTTATTATTATGAGATGTTCAGCTGAATAACTTTACTAAATCTTTACAAGCTACTGCATCAGCTGTACATACAGAAAGCTGTGTGAGAATATGAAAAAGACTTATGGCAATTTTTTTTAATTAAACTGTTGACATTATTTCAACTGTTTCATGCTTTTTTTTTTTTTTCTTTCTCTCTTTCAGATCCAGATTTTAAACAGAGATTTGACAAACTATCAAAAAAGAGAGCGAGAATTACTGGGCCGCCTCTGCCCTGCAGCTGAAAAATCCATCTCCGAGATGATCCAGCAAATGGAGGAACAATATCGAAATCTCCTCGACTGCCATCTTGCTCAGCTTCGTAGCACCTATTTGTCGAGTTTACCCTCTACGAGTTGCAGCACAAATAATGCAGATAATGCTAGCTCTTCCTCAAACACCGCCACCTCAACCTCCACAGATTCCCCAGTGGCAGCACAGGCTATTGTCGAGCCTGGCCAGACAGAGTCAAACAATACAGTCGATTACCACGCAACAGCTGTTGCCACCACACTGGAGCCGCAGCAAGAACAAGATGTTGAGGTGAATGGCACTGATGACGTAGAGGTGCTCCATCAACGGCAGCAACAAGAGCAGCTTGCATATATTGCCAATAAAGTTGTTGCCCGACTACAAGCAGCAAATTCTCACAATGGACAAGTCCATGATGACATTGTGATTATCACGTCATCAGACGACCCAGGACATCATACGCAGGAAGAAGGTGTTGTCAATAGCGAACCCCTAATAATCTGCACGTCGACTGTAGAAGAGGCAGCTCTGGAACAGACAGTCAGCTGTCACACCAGTGAGCACACAGAAGAAACGACCACTGTCGTTCGTGAGGGCGACTCTTTAGATGCTACAGTGGGAGAGGACATCACCAAAGAGACATCAGGAACGCAGTTACAAGTGTTGAGCATAATCCACACTTCCTCCTCCTCCTCCTCAGCTTCTCAGGACGCAGCTGATGAACAGCAAAAACATGATGGGGAGTTGCCGCCCAGCAAACGTCTGCGCACAGAGACCTAGCTTTTAGACATAATCTCCTCTCGCTGTTGACGTCTCTCTCTTTTTTTTCTTTTTTTTTTAAACCATCTCTCTCTCTACACAATATACAAGAAGATCTGAACTTTTGTGACATTGAAATGCAAAAATATCTAATTTCAATCAAACCCAATCTTCATGGGATTTGAACCTTTGTACCCAACAGGTGCCAGGTAAAAAAAATAAATAAATTAAAAAAAAAAAAAAAAAAAAATGGGAAAACTGCCTATGACACTTTGTCGGATAAGTTAGTATAGTTATTAAAAGTTTAATGTATTTTATAGAGAGAGAAAAAAAGAAGAATGTACTCTCTTTTATCCATCAGCTCGTGGCATACGACGATTGTAGCTCTCTCATGCTTCTAAAATCTGTACTTTTTTTCTCTCTCTCCCTCATATGCTTTTCACTGAGGTCTGATTCAGTTAGTTGATCAATAGTCTACAATTCATTTCCGGCCCTCCATTTTTTTTTTTTTTTTTTTTATAGTGGTGGTGGGGGGGTCATTATATTTCACTTTTTCCAATAGTTTATAAACTATTATTGTTTACCTGCTAAATTAGGTTTGGGGAGAAATAGTTATTTATATAGATAATGATCCCTTTTTTTTTTTTTTTTTTCTGTTGAGAATCATTGAACCGGGGGGGGGTTATATAAACCCTACAGAAAACTTTCCCATCTTCTGTAATATTTAAAAAAAAAAAAAAAAAATTTTTTTTTTCCTGATTTTACAAAATGTCGTATTATTGATAATTCTATTTACTAGCCACATTTTTCAGCTTAAGCAATTTTGTCAAGTTTGACTCCTTTATCTGGAATTTTATTTTGAGATAAAAATAATTGAGGAAACAAATAAACCCAATATTGTCTTTCATGAGTTAATCGTATCTGCCACTTAGAATTGATCTGATGTGAAATCACACTTAAGTGATTTCCTAATATTTATCATTTGCAAAAGTAATAAACTTATAATTTTTTTTAATTTAGCTCAAACATTTTTTTGTCCGCATTGCAATAAAAAAATAAAAATGTGCCCATCGAAATATTTTTTCTATTTAAAGTGCGAGAAACAATAGTTGAAATGAAGTCTTTAAATTACAGAGGAAAAAAAAAAAAAATTAGCAAGCTGCTTAAGTATTTTCTAGATCTGCAACTTTCTTTTTTCAGGCACTCAAGGGTCAGCAAAATCCAGTTTCGGTCTGAATATCTTCATGAGATAAAAGCTTATTAATTGATGCTTCTTCTATGGGCTGCTCCCCTTCAAGACTCTCCACAATTTTTGCCCCTTTTCTGCCTTCCATTCATACAAACTCGTCAAGTCGATGGCTCCCCTATCTCTCTTGCCCTGTGTGTGTTAAGTTTTTCAGCCACCTTTTCCCAATTCTGAGTAGAAGTGTTCTTTCTGTTGACAATTTCAGGACTTCCTCATTGCTTACTCGTTCTAATCCATGGAATTCTCAGTATCCTTCTGTAGAACCATGTTTCTATGTTTTTTCAAATATCAACTGATATTTTGAATAGATGTATTATCCAAGTCAGAAGCTTCTGAGGTTCTCAAATCTCAGAAGAAAGATAAAAAGCATTGTGTTATTGAATCCAAGCAGAACCTCTCGTCTTCAGAGACCAAAAGAAAAATAGTTTAATATGATTCACGAAAGGCAGTTTGTTTTAAGTAACAAATATGTGATAAAGAAATAAGAAAGATTTTTTTTTTTTCTTTTTAAATGAAAAGGTTTATTATTATGAGCAAAGGTGTTGAAGATGAGTGGGGGTGTGAAATGAGAGAGAGGGATGGATAGGAATGGGTTAATCACTGGGGTGTGTCAATCACAAGTTCAGCATCATCATCATCGACGTCTCCAATCAAGCCTGACATGTCTTGAGCACTTTCACTAGAAAGAGAGATACAAACAGACATTTTAAAAAAAGAGCAGTTCCTATATTAGCAAACTGGTTGGCCATCACTAAATAAAAGACAAAAATAGCCAAATTATGTAGATATCGAATATTTATTTGGATTTTGGATATATATATAGATATAGTAGAGGTATATATATATATATATATATATATATATATATATATAATGTGTGTGTGAAAATACATGCTGCAGTAGACCCCCCACACACACACACACACTTTGAACGGTAAAATTAATGTCTAGCACCCTAGAGATTGAAAGTCTGGTAAATATGGATTTATGTGCCTGCAATAAGACATAGTGTCAAAAGGCTGCACCCCCCCCACACACACACACACACTTTTTCTTTTTTTTTTTTTACTACCTTCACTCCACGGCAATGTTTGTCTTAAAAAGCAATAATTAGAACTGGAACTAAACATATAAAAGTGAATTTATACATTTTCTTTGTTATTGAAAACTGACAACAAAAATAATAAACACTCTTAGATTATATTATTTATTGGAATGGTTGGCAAAATATTGGCTAATTGCCAATTGATTCAAACCTTATAAAATGGCAAATAATAAGAATTTCTTTATAGTTGGTTCACATATTTTAATAATTTAGTAAATGTTTATAAATTAAAAATTGTTTTCACATTTATTTCTTTATAAATTGGTAAATGATAAATATTGCATTGCATTAGTTTTAATTGTATTTACTTTTTAAAATGTCAAATAAAATTATTCTTGTAAATAAACAGTCTAATAAATAAGGTTTAATATTTTTGCTGTAAATTCTCAAAAAAAAAAAATTAAATTCACTTTCATCATATATTTAGGTTCTATTCCAATTCTAATCATTGCTTTTTAAAACAAAAACATTATAGAGGAGTAAAGTTCGTTAAAAAAAGCAGTGTTGTGGAAAATACCACCCCTTTGACACTCCATCTTATTGCAGGCACATAAGTACTAAAAAATTAGTTTGAATATAAATCCAAAATTGTCATAATAAATGAAAATTGTTTGCATTAAAAATAATCTATAAGGCTGAAAAAAATAAAAATACATCTTAATTTTAAGCAAAAATAGTCAAAATTCATAATTTTTTTTATTTAGTTTTAAACAATAGTGTGACACTATTTAGCTATGGTAATTAGTTAACTAATTAACCATAAAAATTACACAAGAAAATACTGAGAACGGAAAGGAAGATACCTTGAGATTATTTTTTTTGTTTGTTTTTACATTAAAAAATAAGATCAAGTTACTTTTCTCAAAAACACGAGAATTGTTGTAAACAGTGAAACTCACAAAAAGGCCATATGCGAGCTTTTGACAATTGATTAATGATATTTGTAAAAATAATAAATTAACAAAAGAAAGAAGATATCATCTTAAGTACTGGCAAGGCAGAGCCATATGATAATTGTGGAAATTTTGGCATGAGAAAATATTCCGAAATTATTTGCCAATACGGGGTAGAGAGAATTATTATTATTATTATTTACTTTTCCAAGATGTCATCTTCAGTACTGATACATTAAGTAGCCATGTGTCGATTATAAAATTTTGGCATGAGAAAAATATCTCTGAAGAATTGCCAATTTGGAGATAAAGAAATTTATTATCAATTTATTCTTTTTTTCTCAAGAAGCCAAGGGTTCCAGTAAACGCTAACTTCATGAAGGGACCAAATGGCAGACTTTGATGATTGATAGAGTTTGTAAAAAAAAATGTTGGTTAAGAGGACGCAAAGTGACAAAAAGATCCGAGAGATTTTAAATAGCCATGTAAGATTCATAAAAATTTCGGATGATGGGAAAAAAGAATTTTGTAAAAACAAAAAAAAATTCTGGGTTATAATTTTAATGAGGCCAGCTTAGCCACACCCTTTGATGAGAAGGACAGGGAAGTTATTAATGCCCACTGAAAGGATTGGTACAAGGTATCAATATAGAAGAGGGGAGTTTAGGAAGATATCCCCCCCTCCAACCTCTCCTCATGGATGTAGGGATCCCTCCAAAATGGAAGGTAATCAATTTTCCTGGTCTGACAACAAAGAGGTTTCTTGTCAGAAATTGGGATTCACTGAAAACCGCAGACTGCTTCTAATCCCGTACCGGTTTTTGGTCAGTATCCATATATATATATATATGAACGTCCTTGGGCCGTTTGGAGTAGTTCGCCAGTCAAGGCCTCTGGAGTTGCAGGAACAAAAATGTTGCCTCACAGAAACTGACTGAGAGATTCCACGAACTTAAAGTAAAGCAGGAAGTGTCTAGTTCAAAATCAAATGATAGATACTCAACAATATACTTGAACAATTCATAACATTGAGATAAGCAGCAGACTTACCTATCTGGGTCCGAGTTTTCGTTGCTGAAGATCTCCATCGGTAATTTGGCTGGGGCTTTTTCAATCCCGAATGAATGCTGTCGAGATTCCAAATGCCGTTCAAGTTCTTCACGGGTCATCTGTCCGGCTATTCTCTCTGGCTCAGGTTCAGGTGGTTTGGCCGTAACTACTATGAAAACCAAAAAAAAAAAAAAAAGAAAAGGGGGCTCAATATTCAGTTCTCTATAGAAGGAAATATAAGTTTATTTACAACTGATATTTCTGTTGCATCATTAAAGAAGTAAAAAAAAATTAAAAAGGACACAATATTGAATTTTGATGTTTTTGGTAAACTTGGAACTTTGTGCCCACAAAAAAAAAAAAAAAAAAAAAAAAATGAGTGTCAAAATGACTGTTTTTCCCTTGACACCACTATTATTTTAACTACCATTACTCCTCAGCAAGGCTTATTATTTTAAAAAGTGATGATTAAAATTGGAATAAAACATGAACATAAAAGTGAATTGACAAAAATTCAAAACACTATTAGATTGTTTATTTACAAGAATAATTTTAAATTTACAACATCCTAAAGAAAAAAAAAAACTAATACAATTAAAACTAGTGCAATATTTATTATTTACCAATTTATAAAAAAGAAATCTGAAAAAAATTTGTTATTCGTAAATTTACCAAATTATTAAAATATGTGAACCAACTATAAGGAAATCCTTATTTACTATTTTATAAAGTCCGAATCGATTGGCTAATTGCCGGTTTTGCCAATAACTCCATTAATATAATAAAGTGTTTCATATTTTTGCTGTAAATTCTCAACAAAAGAAAACAAAGAAAAAAATGTATAAATTCTTTTTTATATGTTTAGGTTTTATTAAAATTCTAATCATCATTTTTTTTAAACAAACCTTGTGAAGGCGGTAACATTTACTAAATTATTAAAATATGTGAACCAACTATAAGGAAATCTTTATTATTTACCATTTTATAAAGTTTTGGCAAATCATTTCATTAAATAAATAGTGTAAATAAAGAATCTAATAAATAGTGTTTATTATTTTTGTTGTCAATTCTCAATTAAAAAAAATGTATAATTTGATTTGCACATGTTTAGGTTTTATTAAAATTCTAATCACATTTTAAAACAAACATTGCTGAAGAGTGAAGATAATGATGTCAAGGGAAAAAAAAATCCTTTTAACACTCCCTCCCCACAACCAGGTATGAAGGTTAAATATTGCCATGTTTTCTTTGTGAAACTGAATTTGATACTGGCTATAGTAACCCTATTCTGTTTGTATTACTTGCTTTTACTTCTGACCATTGACAGTCCTCCTGATTTTTATATATAAAATCCAATAGAATAAGAAACAAGAAACGTTTAATGTTTCACTTTTGAAAATGAGTTATGAAAGAGAGTACTTAGAATTCTGTGTTTGTTTTTTATTGGTCAGGTGTATTTTCTGTCTTGTGGCATGAGCACGTCTGAATTCTAGTGGGCATTTTTGAGTGTGTTTAATTCCGGAAGATAGTAATGCAAGGAAAATGGGAAAAGTGCGTGTGTGTGCACGCGTGTATCAAATTTCTAGTTGGTCATGCCAGTCTTGACTTGATTAGGCATACATTAATGTTGGAGTAAATTCTGTGGTGGGGAGAAAATCTTGTGTATCAAAAAAAAAAAAAAAAAATTTTAGATAATTTTATTATTGTTATTATATATGACTTTTGAGTGTATCAGGATATATTTGGTGTGTTTGAGTGGCAGGATTTTATATTCTCTAAATATGGGCTTTATGATTGTTGGTAATATGAAAGCAGGTTGGCATGTGTTTATTGATGGCAAGATATTAATTAGTATTTCATCTAGATATTTTCTTCATAATAGGATGTTTTTTATTTATTTATTTTATTTTTTTTTAAATCAAAGTTTACAGTCTGTTTTATTTCTGTGTGTTATAAAAGAGTTCAGTGTATTGTCCCAATGGAAGTCACTCTTGTGTTCATATAGATGTGAACTTTTAGTGTTCTGGAACTTTCACCTATATAGCTCTTATGGCTTTGCAGGCATTTCATATATATAGTAGCATTTAATGTAGTGTTAGTTTTGTCCTTTGCTAACTAGATTTCTGATTGTCTTCGAGGATCATATCTACCACCTCCCAGATGATCAGAGATCTAGTCTGTGTGTTTATATATAATTGTTTTTTCTCTTAAATATGTGTTTGGGAATATAGTCTAATCAATTTCATTTAGTTTATTTAGGTCTCAGTCCATTTTGTTATTAAATATCCCACATTGTGATAACAGAAAATCTGCCAAGAAAGGAAGTAAGAAACTGGATAAAAATTTACCGTGGGTAATCTAGCAATTAAAGCACTTTCTATACTTTTTGGCTTTAGTCAATTACTTTCTTTTTTAATTTGAGCAGCATTTTTTTTTTTTTTTTTTTTAAAATCAAAATCATGTTGCGTCTTATTACAGAGACCAAGCAATGAATTTACTGTGTTTTGTTTTAGTCATTATCCTCTTTTCTTCATATCAATTTATAATCACATTAATGGAAACATCACTTTAGTGTGAAAAGGTTGTAAAGAACAGTTTTTCCCATAAAATTGTTCTTGTAATGAGATATATATCAAGAACAATATTAGGAGGAAAAATTGTATGACAAAGTGGGGGAAAATTTTTGTGTGTTTCATCCTTTAGGACTTCAGTGGACTAAATTTGTTATGTTGGTACATGAATGAGGGACACAGGGAATTTAAAATTTTTGGAAATTTAAATTACATTATATATAAATTTACATGCTTTTCTTCTTTGTTTCCATCACTTTTGTGATTCCATATTGATAATAGATCTCCTAGAAATGATGAAATGTAAGAGCCAAGACACATTTACTGTGCATGACCTTGCGATCAAGGCACTCTCTAAACATTTTCATTGTAATTATTTTATATTTATATATATATATATATATATATATATATATATATATATATGATTAATACATGCAAAATTTATCACTTAGCTGATTGGGGTTATATTCAGCACCTCAAAACTAGAGTTTGTCGATAATTTTTTTTTTTTTTTTATAATTGTTCATTTTCCAGGAGCTTTCAGCAATTAACTACCTTTTTTCTCATTTTTTGCATTTTTCTTTACCCCAGTAATCACAGCATTGAGTATTGCACACAAAATCTTTTCTTATAAAGCAACCAACATACATAACAATGAGTTTAGCCCTGATTGGCCAACCACTCATCTCAATTAACTACCAGTGCCACCTACCTCAACAAAATTAATTAAAAAGGGAGACAACTTTACTTAACATTCAGAAACATTTTTTTTCTCTCTTTTTGTGCCATATCCCTTCAGTATGATTTTTTACAGATTCCTTTTCTTATCTGAATTGCCATACATTCTTAACCCTTTGTGATGCACAGGACATGTGCACATAATACTAGGAACACTTAAGAAAAAAGTTTACCATTGAGCAGGACATCTGAGAAAAGGCCTAATCTAATATTTTGTACATTATATATGACCAATATATAGTGTTTCACATAATAAAGACCTGTGAATCACATGTGCAAATAACATACTTTATACATTTTTATTATGTGGAACACTATATATCAGCACATTTTATTTGCTAAATAAGCTGAGTTGCCTTGCAATAGTCATAAATCTGAAAACAAGCATGGACATTTGGATATTATACATGAAAATGCCTTGGACAAGCAAAGGGTTAAGAAAGAAGAAATTGCACAAATCAGTGCTTAAAGCCAAATTCATTTATTTAAAGCCTGTAATTGACAAAAAAAGATGAAGTGAGGAAAGACTTTGCTGGACTCAAAAGCAGTTGGTGTCAAATCATCTTCCCTGGATTAAAAAAAAAGAGGATTTTTCAATATCGTCAAAGGCCTACCCACGTTATGCAGGTTCACACTGGTAACATTTTAAAGTGGTAACCAGCGTGCACATTACCAACTACACCCCACTTAAGCAAGGACCTTATGTCTTATGGCCCAACTGATCAATCCAATAGTCATGGGGTTTCAATGCATATATTTTTGTCACTTTAAACGTTATTTTTAGTGGATTACATACACGAGTGGAGGCTCCATTTATTTATTTTTCTATACAGGTCTAAATATTTGAGAAATCTTATTAAAGAAAAATATGCAGGGTTCAAACCTGTGTCCCCCTGGGGAGAGGGAAACTGTCGTTAAATCCAACGTGCCTTAACAGACTCAGCCACAAAGAAGCTTTGCCGATCAAACAAGAGGGATGCAGGTTCAAGCCCAGCTGGAGAGTTCATATTTTTCTTTAATAGGATTTCTTGTATATTCAGGCCAGTAGATAAAAATAAATATACTGTTTGATAAATAAACAGAGGATCTACTCAAATATAAGTACGCATTATAAAAAACAAAAAAAAAAACTTTTAAACCGTTCTATGCCAATTATTTTGGGGGAAAGCATTTCATTTGTTTCTAATATAGTAACTAAGAAACTGATGCACCTTGAAGTACCTGAGTGCACGAGTTTACAATTGGACTAATTTCAAGCTCAAAAAGGCATAAAAAGAATCAAGATCGATGGATAAACATGCCTGTAGTTGGTTTTTGAATGTTATGTCTTAGACGTGTTTATTCATCCAAAATAGAAGACACTTTTGGTAAAAACGTATATATATATATATATGTCTATGCCAGGGAAGGGGTTAATGTGATAAAAAAATTTTTTAAAAAATTGGGATTAATAAATAAAAAATACATTCTTTAGAAAACAAATACACACACATTATATTTATATATATATATATATATATATATATATATGTGTGTGTGTGTGTGTGTATATAAACACGTTTCATTGTACAGTTTAGACAGAATATGTCTACTCATTTTTAAGATCATTTCACACACATATATATATATATATATATATATATATATACATACACACACAAAACAAACAAGCCCAACAGACAGGTTTTCTTCAAGCCTAAATTATGAGATAAGCTGGGGCAATAAATTTGATCTATGATGCCCACTTGTCCCAAGGCAATTTTTTTTTTTCTTCTCACAATATTTTTGTCTTTCTTTACTCATCACCAATGAGGAAATGCATCTTGATAGATAAAAAAAGTGATAAAAATGTTTCACT